TGTGTTTAGACTGATTGTCACTAGGTGGCAGTAAAAAAGCTAGTCTTAACTATTAAAATGCTTAATCATTTTTATTTTTATTTATTTGTCAGTTGCTTGCTTATTGGTGCTGGAGCAGGAACCCAGGGCCTCCACATATGCCAGGCAGAAAACACTCTCCAGCCCACCTTTTTTTTCCCCTTCAGTATTGGGAATTGAACCCAGTAGCATTCTACCTCCAGGCCACACCCCCCCAAGCCAGCCACAGCCCACCTCCAAGCCACACCCCACCTCCAAGCCACACCCCAGCCTTTTTATTTTTTGTGACAGTGTCTCACTAAGTTGCTTAGGGCCTCACTAAGTTATTGAGGCAGCCGCCAACTTGTGATCCTCCTGCCTCAGCCTCCTGAGTCACTGACTTACTCCTGAGATAACAACATTAATCCATTGATGACCCGAATGACCTAATCACCTCTTAAAGATCCTACCTCTCAACACTGGGACATCCATGAGGGGACACATTAAAACCATCGCAGCTACATATTATCTAGTGGTTTCCCATAACTTTACAAATTTGTGCTCTCAGCAGCAACAGAATACCCATCCTACTGTCTTCTCACCAATAGTGAGTTTTGTGGTATAGGTTTTATTTATTTTTTTAAATGGGACAAGGAAAAACGAATGAATGAATGAATAGGTTTGGGAACTAGCTCTGTAGTGTGTGTGTGGGTGCTGGGGACTGTGAACCTATATAGCATTGGATTTTTAAAAATCACTTTTAAAGCTGGTAATCCCAGTGACTGGGGAGGCTAAGGCAGGAGGATAGCAAGTTCAAAGCCAGTGTCGTGAGGCCCTAAGAAGAGATCTGCCAATTAAATGATATTACTTTCCCTATTATCCACAATTTCTCTCTCTACTATCTCTTTTCCCTACAGGCAACTGTGGTCCAAAAATATTAAATGAAAAATTTCGAAGAAATAATAAAACAAATATGAAATGAAAAATTGTTTATAAAACAATTCATAAGTTCCAAAGTGCGTGCCATTCTGAGTAGTGTGATAAACTCTGATGTCATCCTGCCTGGGGCCTCGGATTGTCCCTTGTATCCACCACCTGCTGTTGGTGCCCCTGTAGCTACCTTGGTTGTGTCCTGTCCTGGTCCCCATGCTGTGTTCACGCAGCCCCTTTGTGTTCGTCATGGGCACAAAGCACAAGAACAGTGGTGCTAGCAACTCCATTACAGTAGATTATTCAAATTGTCCTTTCTGTTGCTAGCTGTCGTTGATCTCTTAGTGTGCCATATTGGAAGTTAAACTTCACCCTGGATATGTATTTGTAGGAGAACACCCAGTGCATTGAGGGTTTAGTGCCACTCATGGTTCCACGCAGCCAGTCTTGGAATGTCATTTTTCTAAGACTTTGTGTGTTCAGTTTGTGGAAATGCAGGTGTGGAAATAGTAGCTGGAGACTGTGGCCATTTTAAATGTTACTTAGGAATTGATCACAGGTGCTGATTGCACACTCAGAATCTGGCCAGTGCATTAGACTTCTTTGTGTTTAAACTTTCCTGTGGTACTCAGGTGATGTTGGAAGTCATCTTTCATGTAGGGCAGGAGTGCAGCGGGAGGCACTGGGTTAAGCCTGGGCCTTATTTTGCTTAAGAATTATAGTCTCATAGCTGCTTCTCCCTTGAAACTGGTTTCCTTCTGTTGTATACCTGGGTCTATATTACCTTATGCTTCAATTTTTTTAAGGGTCACTCATATGAAATATTGTAGTCATAGCCACCTGTTTATGAGTGGCTTAATTGAAACTTTGCTTAATGGAATTTGATTAAAAAACCGAAAACTTGGGTGAGATGCCATAGTTAAGGAATTTAGCCCAGGGCCTCACACATGGTAAGCACTCAACAAATTTTAGTTGTCACAATTGTTAGAATTCCTTCAAAAAGTGACATTTAACCAGGTGGAGGAGATAGGAAAGCCCTGCAGGCAGAAGGAGTAGGACAAACGTCCTGAGAGGTTACAGAGGCTGTGGTCCTTTGGGGTGGCAAACCAGCTGGTAGAGGGAGGACAGGCTGGTGGCAGGAAGGGTTGCTGCAGAGCCAGTGGGGCCTGGCCTCTGGATTTGGGATGATACCTGGACTTGTGGTAAGAGAATGAGAACCATCAGAGTCTCATTCAGAGACCAGTCAGATTGGCGATGTTAAAATTCCCCCAGCTGCCTTGGAGAGCGCGGGGACCGGCACTTCCTTGTGAGGTTTGGCCAGAGAGTAGGTGCCTAGCTGCCGGCAGGATACTCAAGCTCCTCGTTTCTCATCTGCCAGGCAGACTCTGTGAGGACCAGTCTCAGTGTGTAAAGCTCTTTGAACACTCCTGGCACACAGGAAGTGTTGTGCTTTATTAAAGAGAACACAGGGTCTGGCAGCAGGGGGCTTCCAGCATTACCTTCCCTCTACCGGGTAGGGGACTCCCCTCCTTCAAGAACCTGACTGCAACCGCCTAGTGTCCAGACCAAGCCTGCCTTGACCCCCCACTCCTGCCGTGGGTCTGATGTGCAGCAGGGCTTTCCCTTGCCCATACTGCCTGGCCCCCCTGCTCACTTGCTGAGAACACTGATGTCCCTGTGTGGTTGAGCCCACCCCCCACTGTGAGTGCCTTAGGGGAGTGAGAGCAGCTGCTCTCCCCCTGTGGACCTGAGCCACACACCTCTGTCCCCACCCCACTGCCTGGCAGCTCTTACTTTCTGTACTCAGGACAGATTTGACTGGAAGAAGAAAAGAACATTCTGCACTGGGGCCCATGCAGCTTTCCCTCACTCTCATAAGGAGCCTTAGAATTACACCTTTTAAAATGTTCACCTTCAGGGCCGAGCTGTGGCTCAGTGATAGGATGCCTGCCTGGCATGTGTGAGGCCCTGGGTTCGATCCTTAGCACAATACATACATGCATACAAATCACACAGTAAAAGGGCCATTGACAACCAAAAAAACACAAGTTCACCTTCACCTCGTAAGTTCCCCACCTTTCCCACCCCAGTCAAGTTTTTTAAGGAGCCTGCTGTGTGTGTTGCTGGTCTGTAGTGGCTGCTTAGACACGAATTCCTTTGCTGAGTGCTGGTGTTTCCAAGCTCTTGTTAACCTACTAGATGCTTTTCTAATTGGAAAACATTGTGCTGATCTCGGACAGGGACTCAGGAGTGTCACCTGGAGCTTGGTGTGCAGGATCCCAGGCAGGTCTGGGCTCTTGGCAAGCACCATAGTCTGGTCTACACAGAGACTCACCGGGTTCTGGGCCAGGTCCCCCGTGGGACCTGGGGGGTTATTTTATTTCATTAAAACTGTCTCCAGAAAACAACAACAAAAAATATAAAATGACTGTTTCACTGTGAATATAATAAAACCCCACTGAGTTAAGTAAAAGGGGTGCATTTTATGCTGTATGAAGGAGTTTATTTCAATAAAACTGTTGTTAAATATTTCCAAATAAAACACTTTTTAATATTTTTCCTGATTATAAAAGGAATATATATATATATATATATTCATACATACATACACACGTACAGGAAGCTGGAAAACACAAGTTGAAGGGGGGCAAGATTATATATGCACACGTAACCAACTCCCCATCGTAGCTCCACCCTGCAGACCGTTACCTTTGGTGATGTTTCCTTCTGGGTTTTTTTTTTTTTTTGTATGTTTGTTTGTTGTTGTTTTTAATTTTTAAGTATGGATTATTTTTCCTTTCTTCATTTAGTTCTATAATGTAAGTATTTAAAATGCTCTCCTACATTCTTCATAAATATTTTAATGGCTTGCAATGAGCCATTGTATAAAGGTGTTACAAATGAACTGTCCCCTGCTGTTAGACGTTTTCCATGATGACAATACCGGTCCAAATGTCTTTGAACATGATTCCCACTGTCATGTTTAGATCTATTTCCTTAGGGGTATCTACGTGCATCAGAGGTGTGGGACGCTCTCAAAGCAGGTGGTGCCTGGTTTCAAGCTGATTGCACAGAGCACTGCCTGTTAGCTACAAGGAGTCCTGTGCAGGTGTCACACTCCGATCAGGCACTGTCCTGAAGTCCAGGTGGCCTGCAGGCTCTGGTGCACCTGCTCACACTCCAGGGGTACCTTGGCATAAGTAGAAGTCCCCACGTGTGTTCCCCAGTAGCTCCCAGGGCTTCTGTTGTGTAGAACCCAGAAGCTTTACGTGTTCAAATCTGCAGAAAGCTTTAATTCACTAAAGTGGGAACTGGTGTGTGTGTGTTCTAGTTTACTCTTTAAAAAAACCAATTTAAAAGAATATTATTAGTTGTAGATGGACATAATACCTTTATTTTATTATTATTTTTATGTGGTGCTGAGGATCAAACCCAGGGCCTCATACTTGCTAGGCAAGCATTCTACCACTGACCTATAAATCCTGCCCCTAGTTTGCTCCTTTTTACTATGAAAATGAACATTTATCTGTTTGTTTCGCAGACATTTGTAGTTTTTCTTAAAAGTTATCTGTTCATGTTCATCTTTGTTTGTTTTTACTGTTTGTCGTTTCAGGTTTTGTACATTAATTTTATTACTCTTTCGTGTTTTTTTCTAGTTTGTGCTCATATTGTTTTCTGAAAAACAAGTTTTATTTCTATTTAGAACAACTCATCTTTTTACTATATTTCACTGGTACATTATAATTATACATAATATTCATATTCATTTGCCATATTCTTTCATGCCATAACACAAAGTTTTATCAGTCTCATTCCCCAGTACACTCCTTTCCTCCCCCTCTTCCCTTTTCAATCCACTTGCACCTCTGACCTCCTTTATATCAGTGTTATGATTTTAATATCAACATGTTTTCTTTTCTCCTTGAATCAAAGCGAGCTGGGTATTTACACAGAGGGGAATTGCTGGTGTTATCGGGACCATCCCATAAGAAGACTCTGACTCTGGGCATACTTCACAGGCCTTTTGTCTACTTCTAAGAAGTCAACTCTTCTTCTTTCTGTTTGGTTTTTAGGGTTTGTTATTGCATATACTTTCAGCATTCAGATTTGATGTAAAAGAAGTTGGCCCTTTCACTCAGTGTCTTGGGTACGAGCCTGCAGATTACTATCCTGGTTTGCTTAAAAATGTGAGTATGTTAAATTTATTAGTATTGAAATATTAAAAAAAAAGGGGGGGTGGGTAAGTGGAAATACTTCACTCCTCCAGGAGAGTTGTTTAACCTTCCTTTGTTTATATCTTCTTACCTTGGGCGGACTTAAGGCCATGTAAGGAAGAACTGTGAGAAGGAAGCTTATGAGAAGAAGAAGGAAACCAGGAAAGGTTTTAGTAAATCAAGCAATCAGCCTCTCTGGGGGAAGAGCATTCCTTAACCAGTATAAACACAACCGTGTGCTCTTGAACAAATCTTTTATTTAAAATAAACTGATTAGAATTTTATGGTAAAGGAAAGTAGAAAATGCACTAAGTAACCTAGTACACAGGGTTAAATATTACATCTTAGCAACGAAGTTGTGTTTTCTTCTGCCTTTAATTTTAACCATATTCAAGAAATTTAAATATATGGCCTTGACAGAACTCTTCTCAAAATACTTTGAGATATTTAATGTTTGTTAGTCATTTTGCCCTTTTGAAAGTTTAATACATGAAAAGAATGTTTATTTATTTATTTTATATGGTGCTGAAGATCGAACCCAGTTCCTCACATATGTGAGGCAAGCACTCAACCACTGAGCTATAACCCCAGCCCCAAGAATTTTTTTAAATAAAGAAAATTCAGAAAGAAGTGAATGAACTGAAGCATGTTTTTAGTTTTTATTGATTTTGTTTGTAATTTTTAGGAAATTAATAAATTGTTGCTCACTGCTAGGTAGGAATGCAGAATAAGACGTGTTGGACCCACTTATGGGTAAATGTGCCTTAGCACTGACTCCTTCTCACCCTGCCTGAGGAAAATACAAGGAAAGGAGGGCAGAGGGCAGGGGCTAAGGGACTGCAGTGGAAATGTCACTCATACTAAGACTGATGTGACCCTGTTTGCAGCAGGTGCTCACCTGCAACTGGTTGTGTCTTACAGATGGTGGCATCATTAGTGTCTGAGCTCAGGGAGGATCATCTTAAAGGATCGAACACTCAAAGACGGTAGGTGTTCAGCTAAGTGTTCCTCTTCTCAGATTTCAAAATATATCAGTTCAGTTATAAGAGAAAACGCCTCCAAATCAGAGGACATGTGCGTTCGTAGTTATGGGCATATCCTGTGTGGCCAATTGATGAGGTTTTTACCTTTTTTTTTTCCATTAGTATTTCCTTAACTCTCATAGGACAGTAAATAAATGTATTTATACATGTGGACCCATTAGGTGAAAATCCCTATGTGTATATTCAGGGACACGAAAAGGAAAAGGAGACTGAGCTCACCCTGGGGTTGCTCATCATGTCAGAGGAGATCCTGTGCAATGCAAGTGTGCGCTCTGCGAGCCTTGCTCGTCCCCTGCCCTGCCACCGTGAGAGTGTGCGTGTGTGCGCGAGCACGCACATGGGGTATTTATAAGGCAACAGATCTTTGATGTGCACATATGACCTATTCTAAGAAACATAATATTCTAAAATCTAGACTAAACAAATCAAATAGATTCAAACAAATTAAAAAGCAATTAATCATCTTTATACATGTTTCTTTGCTTTGTAAAATAATACAAAATTGTTTTCATTGGTGAGCATTTAATTTTTAACAGTCATTAAGAAAATCTAGGGTCTGAGGGACTGTGTGTGTGTCCGTCTGTCTGTCTGTCTATAAAGCTATTGCCAAATGAAACTTTATCAGAAATGGTCTTTGCCTTCAGCCTTTAGGAATTCCTTGCATCTAACCCTTAAAGTAAACTATGAAATTCTTAGAAGGAAAAATTGGAAAAAATCTCATGACATTGGATTTGGCAATGATTTTTAAAATTTTTTTTTTAGTTGTAGATGGGCACAATATCTTTATTTTTTTATGTGGTGCTGAGGATTGAACCCAGTACCTCATGCTTGAGAGGCAAGTGCTCTGCCACTGAGCTACAACCCCAGCCCTTGGCAATGATTTTTTAGATATGACACAAAAATATATGCAACAAAGAAAAAATATACAAATAGGACTTTATTAAAATTAACTTTTTGCTGGGAATATATTTTTGCTCAGTGCTAGAGTTCTTTCCTGACATGCACAAGGCTCTGGATTTGATCTGCAGCACAATAAATAAACAAACAAATAAATACATAAAACTTACTTCTGTGATTCAAAGAACCCTACCAGGAAGCAAAAGTTAGCCTACCGAACTGAATTGAATGAACACTTTTGCAGATAATATCTCTAAACAAGGAATTGGTATCTAGAATATGTAATAAACTCTTCAACAGTAACAAAAAATCCAGTTCAAAAATGGGCAGAGGCTGAGGATGTTGTTCAGTAGTGAAGCCTAGGTGCTCTGGCAGCTCTGATTTTGATCCCCAGCACACCACAAACAGCAACAACAACAACAAAAAAAGCAAAGCAAAACAAAAAATACAAACAAGGATAAAGTAGAGGACTTGAATAATGAGCTCATGGAAGGACACTCAATGTCACTAACCATTAGGGAAATGCAAGTGAAATACCACTGTACGCCTTGTAGGATGACCATAATAATAATAGAAAAAGAAGTGGAAGACAAGTGTTGGTGAGTATTGAAGAGAAATTGGAGCCCCTGTGCATTACTAGTTGGAATATAAGCGGATGCAGCTACTGTGCAAACAGTTTGGTGCTTCCACAAAATGTTGAACATTGAATCAATACCAGAATCAAAAGCAGGAGCTCTAGCAGACCTCTGTATACAAATGTTCATTAGCCACAGTAGCTGAAAGGTAGATACAATCCAAATGTCCATCATTAGTTGAGTGGAGAAGCAAATGTAGTCTATCCTACACAATGGAATACTGTTCAACTATAAAAAGGAATAGAATTTTTATATGTGCAAGAACATGGGCAGACCTTGAAAACATCTTGCTTAGTGAAAGAAGCCAGACACAGGACAAATAGTGTTTAATTTCACTTACATGAGATCCTAGAATAGGCACATTCATTAGAGACAGAAAGCAGAATAGAGGCTTCCAGGGCTGGAGGAAGGATAGAAAGGGAGTTATTGTTTAATGTGTTAAAAGTTTATGTTACAAATGGGTATAGATAGTAGTGAGGAGAAGACAGTGCTGTATGTTCTATATTTAATGTCAGTGAATTATTACCCCTTATAAATAGCTAAATAGTAACTGTTGTTATATGTTTTACCACAGTAAAAAATTAAACAAGAAAAAAAAATCAGATGAGATGCCACCTCATAGTCCCTCAGATGACTAAAGTGTAAAGCCCTCGCCTGTGTTGCCCAAGATGTGCACCTCCTCTCCACAGCTCACGGGAATGTGAATGGTACACCACTTGTGACAACTGACTAGGGTGAAGCATAACTTGCCGGGCAACTTGGCAGTCCAATGTTGTGTCTTTTCTCATAACCAGTGAACACACAGACACTCACTAATGCTTGTGTGAGAATGTTCATAGCTGCTTCATTTGAAATAGTTCTGAATCAGAACCAATCCAAAGCACCATCAACAAGTGAATGGATAAACAAATTTTATGGAGCTGGGGATATCACTCAGTGGTAGAGCCCTTATCTACCATGCACAACGCCCTGGGTTCAATCTCCAGCACCACCCGCCCCCCAAAAAACCTGTTTACCATCTTATAAAAAATGAAAAGACAAATCACAGACTAAGAAAATACTTCAAGTCACACATATCTGCTTAGGCCTCCATGTCTAGAATATATGAAGAAGTCAGCAATAAGACAATAACTCAATTTAAAATGGGCAAAATACAAATAGCTGAGAAGCACCCACATGCTCTATATGAATGTTCATAGCATTACTGATAGCAGACAAAAAGTGGGAGCAACCCAGATATCCCTCTACTCATGAAGGGTTAAACAGAGCTGGTATTTCCATACATAGAAGAATTTTCCTCAGCAAGAAGGAACTGACCCAGGCTGCAATGTGGATGAGCCTCAGAAAGATTCTGAGTGAACGAATTCACTCACAAAAGTCCAGAGATATTATGAATCAATTTGTAGGAAATATTCAGAATAGGCAGATGTAGACACAGAAAAGAAATTGGTTGTTTGGGCTTGGGGAAGGAACAGAAGGGGAAGGAATTCCTACAAATGAACACTCAGGAGCTTTCTAAGGTGATGGGAATGTTCTAAAGCTAGATGATGCTGATGCTGATGATTTTCTAACTGAGGAAATATATTAACATCATTGAACAGTACACTTAAAATAGATCAATTTTGTAATATTATGATGTATGCTTAAAAAATAAGAATCTCTAGGGAGCAAGAAGACTATTTAGACGCACTTATTTACATGTCAGGTAATGACTTCGATTATGTTGAATAATTTATCTTTTGAATAATATAATTTGAAAAAATTTAAAGGGAACTTAAAAATGGATAAGATCAGTGTGTATACACTCTCTACACCAGACTCCCCAAATGTCATATAGTTAAAAATTTTTTAAAAATCAAAATAATAATAACAACAATAATAATAAAACACTGTTAACACCTGGAAATAACCAATCACAGACTTGGAAGCTGTTTGCAACTTATAAAACTGATAAAAAAGTTAGTATGCAAAATGTGGAAGGACTCCCACAAACCAGTTATAAAAGGCAGATACTCTGCTCTGGAAATGGGTAAGGAACATAAGCAGATCATTACCAAAGAGGAAAAACTCAATGGATAGTAAACATTAAATAAATTATTCAGGAATGACATTAAAAAAATGGCAGAATAGGAAGCCCAGGTCTCATTCTCCCACAGAGATATCAGCTTAAAAATAGTATGTGGTAATGTTTTGAACAACTAATAATAAAATAAATAAATAAATAAATAAAAGCAAAATGTGTACTGGAAAAAAATAATAGTATGTGGCCAAAACAGCCATCTTGAGAACTTAGAAAGTTAAGAAGTCACCAAGCTGCAGACAAATTCCAAGTCAAGAACATCCACATTGAAATGGGTAAGAAAAACCTTGTCGTATCCACAGTGATAACCACTTCCCCCGCTGGCACACATGATCAGGACTTAAGGAAAAGCCCAGGTTACAACTCCTCTCTGAAAGGAACTAGAGGATTGGAACACGCATCCGACATTTCAGTTCTTCAGGGAACTGTCCACAGAGCTGGTTTCTGTTTCAGCTGACTCAGAGCACCACTGGGGAGCCAGCATGCTGTGGATACCTTGGGGCCACAGCGGACAAAGAAAGCTCAGTGATTTGTTGTAGCACCAAAGAACTAACCATGCTGCTTCTGGAGGCTGGACCAGCTCAGTAAGATGGGCAGAAAGTGACCAGCTATGGCCTCTCCCTTGGGAGAAAAAGAAGAGTGGAATGTGCATCTAACATTCTGGCTCTTCTGGGGGCTGCCAGAAGGACTGTTTTCTTTCTTGTCTGACTTGTAGCATTGACTGGAAACTGGAATACTTTGGATGCTTGGGGATCATGAAAAGCTCAGCTGCTTGTTGCAGTGCCAGTGAAACTGCAGTACTACCTGTGTACACCAGAGGGAGCAAAAGATTATAAGCTCTTGAAAAATAAAAAGTGAAGCTCTATAATTTGTAAATTAAATGCACAAATATAAAGGAGACACCTTCTTGGAAAAGGTTAGAGGGATCCCCTGAAACTCTAGTTGGGCTGATTGGTGGAGGTCTTCCCTTGTGCGAATCCAGTCTGGAAAGACTGAGAGAGGTGGTGGTTATCTTTTTTTTTTTTTTTTTTTCCCAGAAAACCACAAGCCCATAAAAATAACAAGACACACAAAGAAAAAGGGAATTGCAGCCTAACCAAATGATTAAACCTCCTAAAACAGCCCCAAAGGAATGGAGATCTATGAATTACCTGACAAAGAATTCAAATAATTATCTTTAAGAGTCTCAAGTGTACTGTAAGAGAACATTGATAGACAACTAAACAAAATCAGGAAAACAGTATGTGAAATAAAATGAGAACATCAACAAAGAGAAATTATAAAAAATAATCAAACAAATCTCAGTACTGAATTTGTATTCTAAACAATAA